CACGTGTGCTCTTACGTGTGCTCTTCCATCACTTGCCTTCAGAGCTAGTTTGAGATGGTGAAATTGCAGGTGTTGTGGAAACTGTAAATGTTGTTGTCACCTTTTCATCTCCACCTAAAATTGTAAAAATATGTTATAACCTATACGTGGCACCAAAGGATGAGCTAGGAAGGATTCCAGGTTTCCCACTCTGTTTTGTCACAAACTCCAACCTGTGGGCTCCACATCTTCAGTGTGTCACAAGGAATTCTGCCTCTATTGGTTTTTTGAAAGCGCCCAATAAAACATGAATACACTTGCCTTCTGGTGGGAGTCCGGGATCACGAATGTTCCCTCGGAAGTCTAGAGTAAAATATATAAAATTTGAAGAGTTCAAAGTAGCGATGTTATCTCAAAACTTATCTTTACCGAAATTTTTCCATATGATAGAAATTTTATAGTAGAAATTTATAGTAGAAATTTATAGTAGAAATTTTATAATAGTGAAACGACGACGTTTAATACGTTTCACAAGCAAAAATACATAGTATCACATTAAATTGTATTCTCTCGAGAAATAACATACTAAACGCTTTCAGACAGTATGAATAAAAACACTACGAGATTTAATGAATATGACATAATTCGACAGTTGACTTTCAAATTTGAAAAACAATAGATTTAAGGTTACAGGACACCCTTTTTGGCGTTTTGCGGAAAATCGCTACTGCGCGCTCAATATCAGTCCGATTTTCATCAAATTTTGACCAAATGTTCTCCAGTGCATGCAAAATATGGTAAAGTTGTAAAATTAACAAACAATAAAATAATATAAGAATTATTCAGGAAAATCTTAAATCGCGGTACCGTTACGCTTTTGAGTTGTGCTCCTGCTGGTTTTAAGTTATATTTATGAAAATATCATTTTTATACAGTACAATAGTTGTTCTAAAAAATTGTGTCCGGAAATTTTTGTTTATTTCGTCATTCCGCTGATATGGCGATTTCTTTGACGACTGCAATATATTTCTGAATTATTTGAGTGAATTGCTCTTTATTATTAAAATATCCAAAACTAAGAAAAAGCCGAACACGATTTTGAAACTGACGTCTTTAGCTATGCCCTGTGAAAATGTGAGAAAAATTGGTTAAAACCCGCAGGAGCACAACTCGTTTGAAAATCAGTAATTACCCGTAAAATCTTCGGGAGAAAATTGAATTTTACATTTTCAATGTTTTTCTTATTGCAGCGAAATGTGTTTTATTAAATAACTCCGCGAGTTTTCAACATTTTTCGTTCAAACTTTGTCAGATAGTAGAACTAGTCTAATGCTTTCATGGAAACCAATAAAAAAATTTTAGGCAAAATTAACACTCAAAGGTGTTCTGTAACCTTAAGTTAAGCCAGTTAATTAACTTTTTCAAACAAAGATCTGTCAAGCAACTATATCAAACAAGCGAAATTTTGCGTTGTGTGGACAACACTTATTTCGTTTCTCGATGTGTTGTCTGCAGTCCCTCTTTTCCTTTCAAGGAGGGAGTTCTCGCAGTCTAGCAAAATCCAAAAATAAAAATTTCCTGAGTAAGTCAATTATAAAACTTCCTGCATATGCAGGTTTTAGAGAACATATATTATTATTATATTTAATTGACATTCCCAAATGGGTTTTTCAATGACAATTTACAGGTATAAATGTAAGAAAATTTCTACAGACTATTTATAAGAATTTATCTAATCTAAAATCTATGTAATTTATAATATAATACTATTATATTTACAAAAAAGTCTAAAAACAAACCGTATCTTTATGTGGTTTAATTAAAACATAAAAGTTCACTGTCGATGTTTCTTCATTAGATCAGTCTTAAATTTTATTTTAAAACTGTTTAGATTAGTTATTAATTTTGTCTCTTTATCAAGTTCGTTTCATAATTTTGTACCTCTATACTTAAAAGTTCTTTGTCCAGCACAAGTCCCTAAATCTTCATTACTTCTTGTATTACGATCGTGAACTTGGTCTCTTTGTTTAAATTTATATTATCACAGAGATATGAAGGAGCTTGGTCATTTATACATTTAAAAAACTCATTAATAATTCAGGAGCAAAACACAAAGAAAAGTCATAAGCGTGTCGTGGTTTTATATGTGATAAAAAATCATGTTAATTTACATAAACTTTAGCTTTGATTTTCTCGGATTAGACAAAGTTTATTTTAAAAATTACTTCGCCAATGAACTCGTATAAGATGAGTTGTTTTTTAAGCTATTTAAAGCACTTGTATAGTCCTGTTTTATCACATATAAAACACTCCGCTACGTGTCGTGTTTTATATGTGATAAAACACTCCTACGCGTGCTTTAAATAGTACTTAAACATTAATAGTGTATCTATGTATAACAAGTATTCCTTAAAGGGGAAGTCAAGTCCGTTCTGCGCATCGGTTCTGCTCATATAAACAATGTGAGGACAAACTCGGAAGTAATGATACAGATCGATTGTTCGGGGCATTATCTGGATCACCGTCTTTGTGCAATGGTGCCACACATTGATATAAACTTCAATCTCAGCAAAAGACAATCTCATTATTATTATATACAATACAACACTATGTAATTAGACCAAAACCTCACTTGCCTTCAGAACTACGTATAGCTTGTGATGGTGAACTTGCAGGTGTAGTAGAGACTGTAAATATTGTTGTCGCCTTTTTACTTCCATTATTATCTACCGAAGTTAGTTTACTAGTTTGATTATTTAAATCATAAAAATGTAATAACCTATACTGCATATACATTAATATATATAATATATCACCATAAATAATTAGACAAAAGCATCACTTGCCTTCAGAGCTAGTTGTAGATGGTGAACTTCCAGGTGTAGTGGAAACTGTAAATGTTTTTAAAATACTCATTAATAATTCATGAGGAAAATACAAAGGAAACTTGTCGCCTTTTTACTTCCATTATTATCTATCGAAGTCGTTTTACTAGGTTGATTTTCTAAAATCATCAAAATACGTTATAAACTATATACGTGGCACCGAATGATGAACTACGAAGAAACCCAGCTTTCCTACTCTATTTTGTCAAAGATTTATGGTACTTCGGCCTACATAGCTATTAATACACAAGTGATTCACCTCTTGGACATGAATCCATGAGAGAGATATCATCAATTGCAATGTGTCCCAAGTCACCTTCACCACGTACACCTTCGATTACAAACTGCAAAAAAAGTAGAAAAGTGCGATTGTTTCCGATCACTGGTAGATCAGAAATACTTAGCACTTGAACAAGCATACATTTCTAATTCTATACTCACCTGCGCTACCTATATCTGGCATCTGCTATATTTACATTCAGTTATATTTGGTGTTCACTGGTCTACATGCATGCATGCATGCTCACCTTATATGACGCCGTTTGTTTGTTCGCAGGCACGTGTGCTTGAAGCCACTTGTCACCTTGGTCTCCAGAACGACGCCACACCGGTAATCCCATCTTACCCCCAGATTTCACGTAGACCTAAAATTATACACATATATTTATCAGTGTATGAATGTGTTTCAGTTCACGATAGAAGAGCCTGAAATAGCGGTCGGACATTTTCCGACCAAATGACAGTTTTTCCGATCAAATGCCAAATTGGGGAGACATTTTTAGTTTTTACAAAAAATAGCAATCAGTTTTCATAAAAGAATTGGTATCATTTAATTAAACTATGCTTTATAGTGTTTGGCATAAAGTGATATTTTATATTGAATTAAAATAGAATAAAAAAAGGGCCGACCAAATTTGAAAGTTTCCGATCATATTTCATTTTGGTTGCATATTTTCCGGCCAAGTTTTGAATGTTATTTCAGGCTCTGTGGAAAAGAAAGTACTCGATATGTCGAGAACCTCGAAAAGTACTCCACATCACAAGGATCGATAGTATAAGTTTGTTCACTTCAAAATCTTTACCAACAAAAAGTTTCACTCCGATAAGGGATGTTTATGTATGTTGACCCTGATGCCATGACGCTGGCATGTGGCCGTTTGAGAAAGTTAATTATCACTTATTTACTGAGACCTCGTGGGAAAGCAGTGTGTTTTGTGGACCCTCGACCGTCGATGTTTTCCTCGGTTGTGTTTTGTGGACCCGAGACCGTCGATGTTTCCCTCGGTTGTGTTTTGTGGACCGAGCCGAGGGAAACATCGACGGTCGAGGGTCCACAAAACACACTGCTTTCCCAAGGTCTCAGTAAATAAGTGTTTTATTATATATCAATAGTCAAAGAAACAACAAATTAAAGAACAAATGAACGTAAATACATAAAATATTTTATTGTTAAAACGTTATATTAAACACTGGCTACACTGCAGTTACTTAAAGCGAAAGTTTTAATTACGTACTAGGCATGTCCATGAAAGGTCGCATCTTCACGTGATCGCGCACGCGATTTTTTTTTGTTACTCGCCGGTCGATAACGATTAGAGAGTTTAAGTTCGGCTTCCAATAGGCCTACCAATACCGAAGTTTTCACTTCCGTCCTCATTTTGGTACCGGAAATGTTAAAGCGTTAAGTTATCACGACAGATAAAGTATACAGACATTATTCGTCACCGAAAATGTGCAGTATACTAAAAGGCAGCTGAGCTAAAATTCCGACTAAAACATTACTCAGGCGATGCTAATAAACAAATAGTTTACATGTTTATCGTAAAAATTATGAAATATCCGATTTATATGAGTTTATCGTAAAATTCCCCCGACTTCCAATACAAGCCGGCCGACTTCGGTAATGCTGAATTATAATACACTTGTCCTCGTGCTTCTTGCGAGCACAGAGCATGCGCATGACATGTTGTTAGTATCTGTATTGGTATCGTTATCGGAAGTCGAACTTAAACTCTCTAATATCTCCCTCTCGCGCTGTTGCGAGGGAGACAGTCTAATTTCGTCACTCTCACGTGATATGCTCTCAACCAATAAAGCACTAGAAAAATGCGACTTTGACCATTGATATATAATAATAAATCATATTCACCTGAGTACAGTACATAACAACAACATACAAAAAATAAATACCTGAAGTTCACCCACGTTAGCGCCGAACATGTGGTAAAAAAAGATGAGACAGGATTTAGCTTTTGTCGTCGATGGTGAGATCAATCGAGCTGTGCCGTTCGGTTTTTGGTTCGAGGCTTCAATGTATTCAATGTATAAATACCAACCGGATGCTGAAATGAGAAACATGATGTTGGTTAAACCTGAAAAGCTAGAGAGAGTAGATTTAAGGGAGCCTGCAGGAAAGTGAAGTGTATAGTGTCAGCGGCACAGTGTTTGGTGCAAGTGACATTCTTTCTGCAATATGCAGTTGTTGGATTTTAATTTCCCTTTGTTCCAATGTGAGAAGAGCGCTTCTGTTTGATCATGGATCATGAAAACACTATCCATGATTTGACTCTACCAAACAGCGCAGGTTTTCTCGGGTACTCGGTAGTAACACTGAACAAATAAGAAATGGTCCTTACCGGATCTCTACAAAGAACAGTTTATACAACTGGACCAATAAAAGCTACCCAGTAGAAATAAAGTTGGTGAATGAGCTATCTAGCATAAATAAAGTTAGTATAGTTTAGGTTTCTTCCTGTAGTAACACTGGATCAATAAAGAATAACCCTTACTGGAACTAGAAGAAGAACAGTTTAAAATTGATACAGTTCCCACTATATATAAAGTTAGTTAAAAGTATATATGATTGTCACAACCGCTTTCCTTTGGCATGTAAATAGCATACAGATTGCCATCACCCTTTACTTTTCCGCTTGACAATTCACGTGAGATAATCCGGTTATATAAAGCACTGGGTGATACTTACTGGGCACAAACTCGAACAAGTTTCGTGGTTTATCACAGACTGAGTCAAGCACGAGCTTTACATCATCAAGCTTAAGACACATTTTCTCCCTGTACTGCAGTGATCTGTTAGCAGTCCAATTCCACGTGTCTGTCACATCACAACTGCTGAAAACACGCACCTTGAAAAAAACAAGCAAGTAAATATGTAGGTATGTAGGTAGGTAACGTTAAGTTAAGTCAAGTTAAGTTAGGTTAGGTTAGGTTAGGTTAGGTAGGTAAGGTAGGTAGGTAGGTAGGTAGGTAGGTAAGGTATCCAGTGAAAATAAACTCAGAAGAGATTGAATAGGTCATAATCCATCATGTCTGCTTGTCCTCGTTCAGCGTTAACACGTTGTAACAAGAAATATATCTCAAAACTCTTACCAACCTGCGCTCCTTCAGTCACCTGGTCAGCAGGCTTCACACACATGCCATATCTAGTAAGCCTTAGTATTCCATTCGGCATGAGCCGGAACTCCAGCCTGTCTTCTCCACATCCTCTGCCTGTCACAAGGAATGCTCCCTCTTCTGGTCTTGTACAAGGGCCCGAATGAACATTAGTACAATTGTCTTCGCCATGTCGTATGGAGCCGGGACCTTGCTTCTTGTTTAGAAGGCCTAGGAGAAAAAATATGAAATTTGAGGACTTCAAAGTAGCGATGTTATCTCAAAACGTATCCTTACCTAAATTTGTCTATATGATAGAAATTTTATTGTAGTTACAATGATAGTGTGTGTGTATATGTTGGTGTTGGTAAGAGTGATTATGATGATGATGTGGTTACGGTTATGATAATGATGGTGGTTACGGTTAGGTTATGATGGTAGTGACGGTGGTGATGAAAACAATGGTGGAGGGGATGGTGGTATTGATGATGTTAATGGGGCATGATGATGAAAATAACAATCATTATTATATTGCTTTTCAAAATTCTCTATTCTGATTGGTTGACAAGCGGTCCGTAAAAACCCATATCCGGACCGTGGTCCGTATTTTCCGTATCTGGACCGGTGTCCCGGATGTCGTTTATCTGGCGGGAAATTTTTGCTTTGCAAACAGAAAAAAATTTTGCTTTTTAATTTTCCAATTGTGTGTCATTAAAATTTACAGATAAAAATTTCAAACAACAAAATTGTTTTTGATTGAGCATGCATGCCTACCGTATATTGTTACCCAGTGAAACTGGCGATAGCCGATTTAATTTGCACGAAAAGCATATGCTCACAGACTCAGTTTAGCCATATAATAAACCGATTATTGACCTCGCTTGTTCGGTCTGTACTGTGAGATATCAAACCTCTGTTTTTTGCATGGACCTCGCTCCTTCGTCGCTCGGTCCATACTAAAAAACCTCGGTCTGATATTTCACAATACAGACCTCACGCTCGGTCAATAAGCCGTTATTATTACTACAACTACCGGATATGAGCTATTCTGTATTTTCATTGGCTCTCTACTAGCAAGATGTTAGCTCATATCCTGTCAGTGGAAAAAAAACAAGATGGCGGCTCAAAAATTAGCGTAGTTTTCTGAACGAGAAAACAACAGGTTATTTGCTTTTTATAGCATCAACAGGAATAAAAACACAATTGAAAATACTTCCAGCAATTGTTCAGTTTACAAGTTAGTAAATAGATTTTTAATACTTAAAGGTGATCTACAGTCCGATCTGCGCATGTGCACAAATGAGCCCACTTTTTATGATACAAACAGTTTAACTATGTTTTGAGTTCTTGAAAAGCCTGATTGTTGTTTCTTGATCATTTATTATACTCTAGAAGCTTGAAAATATAAATAGTTGTCGAATGAAGCTCAATATTTTGGACACAAAAATGTAAACAAAGGCTTTGTTTACATACAGACTGTAGATCACCTTTAAACTAGTTAATAAATGTACCAATTTTTCAAAGAAAAATGGCAATATATATTTTTTATTTTATCATTCGAAAGAACTTTTAAGACGATATATAATACTCTTTTACCGTTTTTTTCATATCTTGCTTATTTCTACAAATATTTTGATCGAAAGGAATGAAATGTCCGCCATGTTAAATTTTTGTAGATATGCATGTCACGTCACAACAGGGGTCACACAATATTTTTATCTAGACAACCGCTAATCATTTTACACTCAAAACTATACCACAGAGAAGAGATATACAGAGAGGAAACTCGCGGCAAATTATGTCACGCCGATATATTAACTATTTCAAATTGTACTAATTCACTATTTTATTAAATTTTGATAATGCAGAATTAATACTTTTAAATTATTAATAAGTAATAGCATAGTTTCTCATGAAATTTGGATAACATGTGCACTCGTGAGTTTTTAAAGACCTCAAATAGCACTCGTCCTTCGGACTCGCGCTATTTTGAAGTCTTTGGAGAACTCACTCGTGCATGTTATATCCAAATTGTACTCGAAACCATGCTATTACCTATACAAAGCCTTAAATATATGAAAATTTCGAGTTTTGAGCGATGTTTGAAGTATTATTTAAATGAATAGCAGCAGTGGTTTATCGGATTTAGGGCAAGTTGTGTTCATTGCTAAACTGTCTGTCAAAATATTGCCATACAGATGAGACTGTGAATTCAGTAGTGTATATTATAAAATTATTAATAATTCATGTTTATTACATAAACTTTAACTTTGATTTACTCGGCTTAGACAACGTTTATTTTTAAAATTACTTCGCCAATGAAATTAAGCCATTTACAACATTCGCGTCCGTGTTGTATCGGATATACAAACTCTCGCCTTCGGCTCGAGTTTGTATATCCGATACAACACGGCCGCTCATGTTGTAAATAGTACAAACAGTTATTCTACTTACTCCCGTCGTATATGGCTGATAACAAACTCGGTGCTACGCACCTCGTCGGCTTTCAGCTCATATACGACTCGAGTTCGCAGAGTGACTGTTAATTATGGGTAGTGATCTCCCTCCTCCGCAGAGGCTTACATGAATATCTGAAATATTTACAAATAACTTACATGAAGTTTCCTGAATAAAAGTGAGCGCGCGCGTTGTGATGGGAAGATTGAAATGAAGCCGGAAAGGCTTTACCAAACCAGTTGCTTGTCCTTTTTTAAAAACTTGAAATCGACGTAAATGTGCAAGAAATTGAAATAAATCTTCATATAAATCCGAGTATCGAAGTTCAGTAGAGTCATTTTTATAACGAAATGTTGCAATTTAGAGGATATTTATAATTAGATAGCTCATTTATATTCATTTGCAATTTCTCAATATTTTTCAGTGAAAATTGAAAGAAGAAGATATTGATATTGAATTCATTCCAGGAGACTCAAGTACGCCTGAAAAGGAAAGTGGAAAACAGGTTTTAACCCTCGAAGGTAACCTGAGTATCAGGTTCTATTTTACAAATAATAGCCTGACACAAACCTTAATCCGATCGCTTTCCACTCACAACATTTATATTTAGTATCCAATCAAAATGTCGCAGGACAAATGTAAAATTTCACGCAACGACAACAACAATCAAATTATAGTTGAGATCACTATAAAAATATATCAACAACTATAATATAATATAATTAGCACCAACCAATCAAATGCCAGATCAAAAAATCTTTTGTCTCATAGACCAATCAGATTTACAACCGAAATACGGTTGTACGGCATGCCCTTTTGTTAAGGTTTGTATCAGGTCTATTTATTCATTTATAGGCCTGATCGCAGGTTATCTCGAAGGTCGATATCGAACCGAACTCCAAACGATTATATACGACGCCATATTGATTGCATTAACTAGCAGAGGCTTCCATTACTTAACTCTTCCTATCACTCCTTGCGCACTCACTTTTCCCTCACTAGAAACTTTATTGCATCTTTTGTAAGCCTCTGCGGAAGAGAGAAGGTGGTGATGACTGATGTTGCGGGTGAACAGGTGATAATGCTAGTGGTAATGATGGTGAATTAGACTGCGAGCCTTAAAAGGAAAGGAGTGACTGTACTACTGCAGACAACACGTCAAGAAACGAAATAAGTGTTGTCCACACAACGCAAAATTTCGCTTGGTTGATGTAGTTGATTGACAAATCTTTGTTTGAAAAAGTTAATGAACTTAACCGTCAAATTATGTCATATTAACTAAATCTCGTAGCATTTTTATTCATACTGCCTGAAAGCGTTTGGTATGTTATTTCTCGAGAGAATACAATTTAATGTAATACTATCTACTTCTGCTTGTAAAACGTAAACGTCCTCGTTTCACTGCATGTAAAGTTGAATTTTTACTTTTATAACAATACGATACGCGCTATAAATATTTATTTGCTTACAACACCAAAATAATTATATTGGAGCTAAGAGACGGTGCAAAAAGTGAGCGTATTTCGTTTCTTAATTGATGTGATGTCTGCAGTTCCTCCTTTCCTTCGAAGGAGGGACTGCGCGCAGTCTATGGTGAATATAATGGTGATGATAGTGATATCTCGGCCAACAGAATATAACACTTACCAAAACTCTTGGTATGATCTGCAGTTGGGCGATTGTAACCGGACTTTGTATGACCTTGATTTCTGGTCCAATCGAAATCATCCTCACGGATATCTTGAATCCATTGGCAACTGTTAGGATCTTCAAAGTCGCAGAAGAATTTATCAATCTCTAAACAAAGAAACATTTAAAAGTCAAGATCACAAGTACATTTGTTCCACTAAAAATATATCAAATATTCAGGCTTTGAATTTAAAGTATACGGGCTCATCATTATCATAATCATCGTCATCATACACATGCAAGAACAGGATATCGTTGCCCAATTCACTCGTCCTACAGTAACAGGTTTAACTAAAGTAAACTTACCTCGAGCGAATGAATTGGCCATACATAGTAGACAGGGAATGATAAAGCTGGTCCGAAAAATCTTTTTAATAATCTAGAAAAAAATTAAAAATTAAATAAATTATAGTAATTCATTCAATGTCGATTACGCTGATAATTCACCCAAGTTAATGATACAAGTGCTCGACAACTTGAGCTTTCGAACATGCGAAGAAAAACCCTCGAAGCACAAAGGGAACAAAATTGGAGTAAAACTACCGTGAGTGCCAGAGGTTTTAGACGATTTTTCACTGAAAATTAAACTGGCATGTAAAGTGTAAAAGTAAAAAATTTGCAGCACGGATTGGAAAAAAGTTTAGAATCGGTTTAAACGGTTAAAGCACACCTGGTATTTCAAGTCTCACCAAAAAGTTATATTATACCTCAACTTCAAATTGTCCAATCAGAAAGCTCAGTTTGTGGCACGTGAGCATGAAATTAATCCCGATATCACGCCTTACGCCATCAATTAGCGAGCCTGCGTTCCTTTTGACAATGTTCAACACATAGATCCCATAGTTCAACCCAATGTTCCCCTATTATTTTTCAATCCTAATAACTCTAAAATAACCTCAACCTTGCATGGTCGTTGCGTTTTCTACAACACGCAGTCTTAATAAAATTATGATTCAATCATGTATTTCTACTTTTTCTGCGGCCTATTTTTTCGGTATAATATATAATTTATAGACCCTCAGCTCGGGAGATTCGGCAAAATATTACCCTCAGCGATATTTCTCTCGGGGCAAGCCCCTCGGGAAATATCATCGCTGAGGGTAATATTTTGCTGAATCCCCCTCACTCCGGGTCTATAAATAATAAATATTACAACAATAATTTACATACGACAATACCAGTACATGAAAATTATAATATAGAAATAATATTTAATTACACTGGCCGAAAGGACCAACCGAAATTAACAGTGTCTTAAAAGGCAGATTTTCTCTTCTTCTTCGAGATATCTCTCTAAAGGCTGATTTCCACTGTTGCGTTTATCATACGTACGTATACGCACGTAAAACGTTAAATCCGTTTAAATGCTGATTTCCACTGTTGCGTTCTTCGTACGCACGTACACGCACGTAAAACTTTGAATCCTTCTATTTTTTAAATATTTTACAAATAAGTCAACAAATGCATACTAAAACTTGCGGAACACAAAATTCTGTTGCTTTATTTATTTGGTTATTTCATAAGTAACTTTTAAACGGATTTAAAGTTTTACGTGCGTATATACGTACGTACGAAAAACGCAACAGTGGAAATCAGCCTTAAATGTTACTTATGAAATAACCAAATAAATTAAACAACAGAATTTAGTGTTCCGCAAGTTCAAGTATGCATTTGTTAACTTATTTGTAAAATATTTAAAAAATAGAAGGATTCAAAGTTTTACTTGCGTACTAAAAACGCAGTTACGCGTTTTTTTACGTACGTCTACGCACGTAAAACTTTGAATCCTTCTATATTTTTTAAATATTTTACAAATAAGTTAACAAATGCATACTAAAACGTGCGGAACAGTAAATTCTGTCGCTTTATTTATTTGGTTATTTCATAAGTAACATTTAAACGGATTTAAAGTTTTACGTGCGTAAACGTACGTAAAAAAAACCCGCGTAACTGGAGATCAGCCTTTAAAGCGCCTTACCTGCATGCTTAAGATAATGTCCAATAAACAGAACCAACGGAATACATGTACGGAACAGCAGTATCCAGTTCAACGAGTTTAAATACAACAGTGCTTCTGAATAAACACGGAAGTATGATATACGCAGTAGCCTAACCCCAACCAACGAGCGAAGCCCTGCCGAATAGACGTAGGATGTCCCCCGCTGATTGAGCGAGAGCCTCACGTGATTGAATGTCACGCACGCACTTGCGTATTCTCTAATATTGGCTCTCGCGCATTAAAAGGCAATGGCAACCAGAATTTTTATTGTCTCATTCGAAAGAACGTTTGAAATTATCTAGTAAATCTTGTTACAGATTTTTCGTATCAAGCTTAACCGTTGAAATCTTTTGACTGAAAGCAATGAGCCGCCATCTTGGATTAATTCTTTACCTCATTATAACCATCGTTTTGATGATGTCAGAAGTGGGGTTAGCCTTACAAAATTACGTTTAAGTTACTGATTAACAATGTAAAATCATTTCTAAATTTTAAAATAGCAACCAGAAACGAGTTTCGGGCTCATATTGATCACTGGTGTGAAGATAAAAAACTTACCTGGCCCCAATTGACCATTTGCGTAATAGACTAAATTTTGATTGCTACAAAAATTTCATTATAGCTTGAAAGAGCATCACAAAATTAGTAATATTCCAAAGTTTCGTTGCAAAATGTTGTAAAATGCGGAAAATATAGCCTTGCGAAATTTGCAATTTTCAGTCATTTTAGATTACAAACCGGAAATTGACAGCCTCGAAGGGTTTGAGGCTGTCAATTTCCCGTTTGTAATCTAAAATGACTGAAAATTGCAAATTTCGCAATGCTATATTTTCCGCATTTTACAACATTTTGCAACGAAACTTTGGAATATTACTAATTTTGTGATGCTCCTTCAAGCTGTGATGAATTTTTTGTCTAGACTTGTTTAGTTCAAAATTTAGTCTATTACGCAAATGGTCAATTGTGACGTATATGCAAATCCTCTATAATAATCAAGATGGCAGACAGCCCGCTGTTTTCAGTCGAAATATTTTAAGAATCAATCAAGATAAAATGTAAAAAGTCTTTAGTAACGATTTGAATCATAAACAAACTAATTTTTTGCTGCCATTGTCCTATAGGATGGCAAGTCTCCTGTCCATGTACTGTATGTTATATGTTCTGTACTGTATGTGTATTTTTGTATAGGGCCCACAGTAATTGGTTTACACTGTTGTGGTGTCCCTGCCATTTTTGTCCATGTTTATTGTGTAGATGTCTATTTGCTGTTCTGTTAAGTGTTTTTGGCAAAGTTTAATAAATAAATAAATAAATAAATAAAGTCTGTCATGCATCTATGGCTCTCTGCTGATTTTCTTTAGCTCTTTACTTGTTGCAATGTTGCTAAATTTTTGAAAGACCCTACGAAGTTGTTGTGCAAAAAAGGCTTGTTTACACTTGAACATTCTCAACTCATCTACTTGCAGTGCACGTAGCTACATCAGAAGTAGAAAATCCCACTAGAAATCGCAAAAATTTCCTTAAAAGTGCGAACTCGCGGATTCTATAGCCGCCTTAATAAGACTTAATAACATCAGTGTTATTTAAAATCAAGCTTATAGAAGGTCATAAAAGACACTGCATCATTTTTGCCCAACTTAACTATTCTTCCGATCATTCTAAAAAGCTTCAAATATTTCGTAAAGTAATCATCATAAAAACGTGCGGTCGATTTTACGGCAGACACAACCGGAAAGAGAAAAATATACACTTCTTGATGTTTCGCGGAAGTAAGGCCCTTCGTACGTCAAAAAAGCTTTATATGCAAACCTAAGTCACGTCTCTACACAATTGCAAAACAACACACTTGTATTCTGTCGCCTCTCAAGATTTCCGCAGAGAAGTGAGAACCATTCATTATTAAAAATGGACCAATCCCCAATTAACCAAAATTTTGATCTCAACAAGTCTAGACAACATTCCATCATAGCAAGAAAGGGCATCACAAAATTAGTAATATTCCAAAGTTTCGTTGCGAAATGTTGTAAAATGCGGATAATATAGCCTTACGAAATTTGTAATTTTCAGTCATTTTGTATTACGCACAGAAGTGGTAACCATTTCCCGTTTGTAATCTAAAATAAAATGACTGAAAATTGCAAACTTCGCAAGGCTATATTATCCGCATTTTACAACATTTTGCAACGAATTGAAACTTTGGAATATTACTAATTTTGTGATGCTCTTTCAAGTTGTGATGAAATTTTTGTCTAGACTTGTTGAGTTCAACATTTTGGTTAATTGGGGATTGGTCCAACTGCCTCTGTTGAGTCTATATAGGATCACTTTTCATGCGGAGAAAAACAGCCATTTCACGTTTCACGTGTAAAAAGTTAACTATTTCACGAAAATTAAAACCCACGTTTTTAACTGTGTCAAAATATGAAGCTCTGCAAGCCCGGCAAACTTCATGGTTACAAAATACAGGGTGTCTCAAAAAAGACAACTTTAGAAATTCACCTGATTGTTATAATATGAATGCCTGAGTACTAAAGGGTATCTAAACAAAAGCGGCGACCCTTTAGAAAGTATCCTGTTATTGTAAACACCCAAACTGCATTACCTCTGCGAGTTTAGAATGCATTGTAATTGGGGAACCTCGCAAGGTCGTCTCCAATTGGATGGGGGTTTCCTAAAGAACGAAGCAATTCATTGTTCTGAACACAAAAGCAATTGTCAAATCGAGCCAATGAAAATCACTCTTACGAGCTACTGCGAGACTACCCTTGTAATCGTACGAGCATATTAAAACTGCGTAAATTGTACATGAAAATGCGAATTGAAGTGAATTAAAACGACTTAGAAATTAGTCCATTAGTCTTAGAAATTAGTCCATTAGTCCTAGAAATTAGTCCATTAGTCCTAGAAATTAGTCCATTAGTCTTAGAAATTAGTCCATTAGTCTTAGAAATTAGTCCATTAGTCTTAGAAATTAGTTCCGTCAGTTCGATTAAAGATGATTCAACTGACTACAGAGCAAAGAATTTTTTCTGTTTTATGCACTGCGTTAAATTAATCAGCACATAATCATATTCATATGTTGAACAATAGGCAGGGTTCGTAGTCTCCAAGACCAAAAAATTCAAAGACTGTCAAAGATGTTTTCTGCCTATTTTCAAAGACTTTTCAAAAACCTTTGAGAGCAATCAGCTGTCGAAAAATTGCGAGTGTATAAGCACCATTTTTACCCGGTAATTAGTCCGGTCAAATCACATCCGAAATATTTCGCCTGTTTCTTTTGAATTGTGAGCAATCAAGTACAAATAATTTATTCGAGTAGTCGCAATTCAAAAGAAACAGGCGAAATAATTCGCATTTCACCGAGAAAAAGCGCTTGTGGAATCAGACCTTAAAATGCGCAATTTCGTCGATATTCTTGATTCAATCAATCTATTTTATTAGCTAGCAAATCGTATAATCAATTCCTCACTAAAGAATTTAAAGACTTTTAAAGACTTTCTTCGCTTTTTCACACAATTTAATAACTTTTCAAAAACCTCAAAGACCTGTATTCCAATTTAAAGACTTTCAAGGATTTCAAAGACCGCTCTGCAATACCAAAAACTTTTAAATAATGACTAAGAAATATTGCGGTCGATTGTAGTGTTTGTATATCCAATTGTACTCCTTCAGTCCTTGATCTATAACTTCTAGTTTTAGGTCACAGGCCTTAAAATATTGGTCGGTCACGGACATTGTCCGACCCATTCGTGAAATTGTCCGACGCAGAGAGGAAACCGCTGTACATTCTGTCCGACCAAAGTGAAACTGAGGTTGTTTTGTCCGAACCGAACGTATTGTTTGTCCGAACCGAATGTATTCGCGTGTCCGACCGAATTGTATAGCTTTGTCCATGACGTAAATCAAAATGTATACCCTAGTCCAGGACTAGAGGTTCGTATGCTAAATGGAGAATCAGGGTTATGTATAAATAGTGAACTGGAAATGTTGTTGTAATGTAATTGAGCGCTGGGTGGCGAGCAAAATGGTGAAGTGGAAAGTTGTCGAAGTCGTACTGCTGTTATAGGCAAGCAAGTGAATTTTGGCTTGGAAATAAATATGAATGACACAAATTATTTAATAGTAACTGAATATTATCAAATTTACCGATCTGATGGGTTCCGTTCCGATGTATCCCGATGTATCCATCGGATCGGAACCCATCAGATCGGTAAATTTGATAATATCAGTTACTGGACTCTGAGCTCAGTTGGTTAGAATGTTGCACTTTTCTGCGAGAGGGCCTATATATTTTAGTGACTGCTCCTGAACGCCATCATGATTTACATTCAAAATTTGCACTTTTTGTGACAATTTGCAAGGCTGCGGCCAATTTATCGGCGGTTATCGATATTTGTTAACAGGAATTCCTAACACTCGAAATTGGAACAAAATGCTAGCACAACATAACAACAGTTAACAGACCAGTAACAGAAACATCGTTATGATAGTTGAATTTACTCAATTTAGCAATCAATTTATTTTGGAAAAGTATCGATTCCTTTGTAGAAGAGAATCTGTCTGAGAGACCCGCACAGTTTATCTTGACAAAGAAAAGAAAATATCACAAGTAAAATCCAGAATGATATTTATCGGACCGCTGATCGAAACCCAAAATCTATGGAACTTAGAAAGACCGATAATTACTACCGCACGTGCTTTACCGTTTGGATTGTCAGGGGGGGATTCAAATAACAAACACCTATTTCCGGCAACAGCGAGCCCATCAACGCCGTGATAGCGACTGTTTACAATATTTGAAATCTGATATTGTAATTTGCAAAAACTCTTTCGATCATATAGTATACGATCGATTCATCGAAAGAATTTTGCAAATTACAATATCAGGTTCAAATATTGTGAACAGTCGCTATCACCAGCCTCGTACCCAGGCACAAAGGTACTAAAAATAGCAACACCAAGGTGTTTTATATAGATCAGTGGCTAAGATGAGCAAGCGCGCGGGGGTGCTTGGGGAGGACAGGACGAGCACCCCCGCTCATCTTAGCCACTGATCTATATAGAAACACTGTAGTGTTGCTATTTTTAGTACGTTATTTGCGCCTGGGTACGAGGCTGCGCTATCACGGCGTTGATTGGCTGGCTGTTGCCGGAAATGGGTGTTTGTTATTTGAACCCCCCCCCCCTGACAATCCAAACGGTAAAGAAGGCTAGGTGGGCAAGCAGGCGCGGTAGTAATTATCGGTCTTTCTAAGTTCCATAGATTTTGGGTTTCGAAACATTTCGCTAAAAATCCATTCCAAAAATTATAGGACGTGTTAAAATTGCCTTGTATGTTCGAAGATGGGTGTTTATTCTAGACGCTGGCGAATTTTTACCGAGGACAAAGCAATTTGAAGGGGATATCTTTCGAGTTGAAGTGTTCGTGTGTCGGCAGTTGAAGAACGGGAATCGTTAGCCTTTGCTTTCATTCTTATCACCTGATGACAGTCGCAGGCACAGAGCGTAAAGTCGCCCAGAAATAAAAGACGATCACATACAATCAAAGTAGGCAAGTAAATGTAATTATAAAATATAAAATTCATTACAAATTTTACTGTGTAGTATATTCTATAACTATATAAATTTACTATAACTATAATTATATACTAATACATGTCTGGGCCGCCTGTGATGTAATCGGCCAATAACAGATCTGCCCGAAAGTTGCCGATTATCGGCTTCTACAAATTAATTTCCAATTACCAGCTTATCCCTACTGAATATTAACCATAATTCATGTTTATATAATGGAGTGATGCCAGTAGAAGGTTGGATACTGAATATCGATATTTTGGGCATTCTGTTCGATAGAACTAGTGGTAGTCTAATGGGCTTTTGTATAGATCAGATGGAATTTTTGAACATAAATTTCTATACATTTTTAGACCTAACCAGCAGGGCCTTCATACAAAACACTTTACCCTTCCAGCTTTCTTTCAACAATTTACAAAACACTACTAATCATTTTATTGTCAAGAATTGATTTGACAAGAATGTAATAATATACAAGGTATTTGCCGCATTTCCACGCCAATATTCGTCGAGAATATCCTGCAGATACTTTTCTTTAACCTTCGCTTTTAAACAAGAATTGACGTTATAGGGTTTGTAATCCAAGTGAGAATATATACATTTTAAAACCTAACCAGAAACGACTGCGAAAAATGCAGCACAAGGTCCACTGGTAGGAATTGAACCTACGGCCCTGCGATTCCGGTGCATCGCTCTAACCAACTGAGCTACAGAGGCCAGCTGTTGAACTGTAACCGTAAGTTCATGTATGAACTTACGGTTACAGCTCAACAGCTGACCTCTGCAGTTGGTTAGAGCGCTGCACCGGAATCGCAGGGCCGTAGGTTCAATTCCTACCAGAGGACCTGGCAGGAATTGAACTCCTATTCAATTCCTAGTCTAAGAGGACTTGGCATTAAACACGACTGGACTGATGAGATCAAATGGGACTAAGAAATGTTGGAGTCGATTGTAGTGTCTGTATATCCAATTGTACTCCTTGATCTATAACCCCTAGTTTTAGTTGTTTGTGATGTTTTTCTGAGTGTTTATCCACACCGAGACAAGCTTGAAAAATATGCCTGGCCACGGTGGGAATCGAACCTACGACCTTTGGAATACTAGTCCAATGCTCTGCCAACTGAGCAACGCGGTCAGGTCGGTTCGAGTATGTGATATTTCGGAACTGAGCCTAGTTCCTTCGATATCAATGCAATCGGAAAAAATCATATTACTATAGATTACATTGATATCGAAGGAACTAGACTCAGTTCCGAAATATCACATACTCGAACCGACCTGACCGCGTAGCTCAGTTGGCAGAGCATTGGGCCAGTATTCCAAAGGTCGTAGGGTCGATTCCCACCGTGGTCAGGCATATTTTTCAAGCTTGTCCGGTGTGGATAAACACTCAGAGTAACATCACAAGTATCATATACACCTAAGTACAAAACACCAACACAGAAAAAATCCTAGTTTTAGGTTACTGAATAAAAATCTTTAATAAACCTGGACTTCATTTTAAAGACTAATTAAGTACACCTTGAGTCTTAAAGGCACAGTTCAGCCTTTTGAACGATGGTTTTTAAGGCGCATCTCAGCCATTTTAATTGAAAAAACTAACTAGGAAAATCAATTAAGCATAATTCAGGATCACCAAACTCAATGTTTTTAACATTTTAAAACATTTTTATTGTTAAAAACATGAGTTTACTGATTTTGAATTATGCTTAATTGATTTTCCTAATTAGTTTTTTCAATTAATTAAAAGGGCTGAAATGCGCCTTAAAAACCATCGTTCAAAAGGCTGAACTGTGCCTTTAAGTCATAAACCTGTACTTCTTGTACTTCATTTTAAAGACTAATTAAGTACACCTTGAGTCTTAAGTCATAAACCTGTACTTCATGTACTTCATTTTAAAGACTAATTACACAATAGGGCCATTTATACGGAACAAAATAAGACGCGACTTACATAAGACGCGACTTAAATAAGACACGAGTTTGTCGTATAAAAGGTACAAAATTCTTATGTAAGACGCGTCTTGGATAAGACGCGTCTTACATAAGAACAGGTCTTTTAGCTGTTCTTATTTAAGTCGCATCTTAAATAAGAAATTTTGGACAAAAAGTCTAACTACACATGCCAGAAACTTGAACCAACGTAAAATTTAATGCCTTGCATATTAAAACAAAAACAACCAAAACAACATTATAGCTATAGCAAATAAATAAGACCAAAGCCGTAGAGAACCATTTATGCGATAACTCCACTTATTTAAGTCGCGTCTTATGTAAGTCGCGACTTATTTTGTTCCGTATAAATGGCCCTAATGAGTCTTAAGTTTGTACCAGCTCAAGTACAAGGCAAGAATCGACGTACGACTAAAATCTTGAATTATCGCACCCCGGTTAAATATTATTCATATAGTGGTCACACGTTATACGTGACCGTGCACAAATTAATACAAACTCAGACAAAAACATATAATCTTCTGTTCAGTTTCCAAACCATATAGTATCTTCAGTTGATAGACTATGCCTATATTTTTACGTTTTCGAAACTAGTTTCAGCACTGAAAGCTCAACACTGAAAGACTTTTCAGAACCAACCAAAATGTCTAGTAAAACTTGAGAAAAACACGCATGCAGTATACAATTGTTACATCTATTGTGGTTCTATGTGTGGCTCAAGGATATAAACATGCATGCTGATTAAACAGATGAATCCATCTTTGAAATCCATATTTTAGGCCCCCACGTCCACTAGAGGGAGGAGGTCCGGTGGCATACTCGCCAGGAAAATGTTTTGAAATTTGGGTCTCTGCAACAGCACTTCCTGCGTTCTGACATCACTTTTTTTATTAATTCAGTGATTGAAAAATACATGTTTTTAATTAAGAGTAATTTTGATCAAAATACTGGCATGCGTGATTGCTCAAATGCTTTTTGGAAACCTTGTAGTATTGGGTTCACAAATTGATCAAAATTGTCAGATTAATTTATCTAACTTGAGTATTATACGATTTACTCAGCCGCTACTGTATCTGATTCGATATCGTGATTAAATAATTAATATATAACTTATATAACTGACATGCTAACACTGATGGTACAAAGCGATGTAATGTCTCGCACTTGTAGACGCATCAATATATATTCTAGCTTTATATGAACGAACAGTAACAATGAACTACAAACCAAAGTGCATGAAGGTTTAGTCACTATAATTTTCTGATTCTCTATCGCCAACGCATTGATTCAGTCACACAAGTTCCCCACGCTTGCCTTTCAAACTGGGAGACACGGGTTCAAACCTTGGTAGAACCTCTACTCAAGGTCTTAAAATAATTGAGGAAAAAAAGCTACCTTTCCATTGACATCAGTGAATGGTTAGACTTTCACGTCTACTCGGATAAGGACCAGCCTCGTACCCAGGCGCAATTAACTAAAAATAGCAACACTACAGCACTTGTTTCTATATAGATCAGTGGCTAAGATGAGCGAGCGCGCAGGGGTGCTTGGGGAGGACCCATCGTGTCCTCCCCAAGCACCCCCGCTCGCTCGCTAATCTTAGCCACTGATCTATATAAAAACACTGTAGTGTTGCTATTTTTAGTACGCTATTTGCACCTGGGTAACGAGGCTGGATGCCTGGATAAGGACGTTAAGTCGTAGATACCTCGGATCCCCTATCTGTTAGGAAATCCGCTCACCACTAATAAGTGAGAAACTCAATGAACTAAAATTATAAACATAATGTGGATATGTTTGTTGCCATATTGATATTTATTATATCATTGTGTAGCAAAACTAAAGATAGCTTATTGTTATAATTTTAGATGTGTGTACTTTTGAACATATGCATGAACGTTTCATCAAAACATAGAGTGACTATGAGCAAAACCACCCAGGTTGAAGATCTTGGCAAGATCTTGTAAGATCTTGCATGATCTTGGAAGATCATGGCAAGGTCTTGGCAAGACACTAATCTTGGCAAGATCTTGCCAAGATATTCTCAAATTCATTAATAATTCATGAGCAATTCAGCCAATGATAATCACCTATTTGATCACAAGATGCCATTTGGATAACCCGGTGAAACTTGCTGAAAGCATAGTTAATAGAGGAGATGGTTTGGAAACTGGCATTAGCATTACAACATAATCACAATAAACCTCATTATCTATATTGTTCAGGTTTATGCAAAAATGTACTCTTTCCTCGCGTCACGTGCGTATTGTATTTCCCCCAAGTCAACCAATAGGAATGTTCAAAATAACCTTTTGTTAAAGTCACGGATGGGCAACTGAACAAAACGTTGCTATTGGCTGGTTGAGCAAGAATACAATACGCACGTGACGATGAACGGCTACATTTTTGCATAAACCTGAACAAAAGCATAGATAATAAGGTTTATTGCAATGCTAACGAGTTTCCAAACCATCATCTCCTCTATTAACTATGTGAAAGTCACTAGTGTTACGCATGCAAAATTACTTGAATAGAATTCCTAATTACGTTATGCTTGGTTAAGAATTCTATTCAAATCAGCAAACGAAAACATTCTGTTACGTCTCGATTCATTTGAGAAGCCATATAAACAACTCGAGCTCGTGTCTCACCGGGATATCCAAACACTCGAAAACAATGTATGAAAACACTCGCGCTTCGCGCTCGTGTTTTCATACATTGTTTTCTCGTGTTTGGATATCCCGGTGAAACACTCGCTCTCGTTGTTCATATATTACTTACCAATATCTTGCCAAGATTATTCAATCTTGCCATACTTGCCAAAATCTTGCCAAGATTGTCTGAAATTCTTGTCAAGATCTTGCCAAGATCTTTCATGATTTTTCGTCATACATAATTCTTGCTGAGTTGTATTTTTCGACCTTCATAAGTATAGGTATAATGAACATTGATCAAACCAATCGCATATATCACAACATTGCCAATACTCTATCATGATCTTGCCATGATCTTGGAAGATCTTGTCAAGATCATAGACGGATTTTGTGGGGGGTGCAGGGGGGTGCTACCCCCCCCCCAATATTAGCTATAACCCCCCCAAACAAAATGTCCACCCCTCCAAAAAAATTTTCAACCCCCCCAATATTCGGCATAATAAAAAATAATTAAATAATCCACTCCAACGTGCAGAGTGTTGATGATACAAAATAAACGTAGGAGTACACTCAAATAGAAAGCAATATTATTGGAGCAATTGTAAAGTTTGGAAACTCTATTATCTCCCCTGAATAGAGTTTGCAGTGCCTTGTCATGCAAATAGCTTGCTTGCAAGGAACGTTTGGAATTTTTACAAACATTATTTTTCGTTTTTAATTCTTTTTAATTTTTTAATTCGTTGTTTATAAAAGTAAAAGCATATTGTGTATTGGCCTATTGGGTTTACACTTTTACAGGTTCATTTAACTTTAACTCTCTCAAGTCTCAACAGACAATCGGACACAGGGCCGTAGCGAGGGGGTGTTGGGGGGGGGGTGGTTAACCCCCCAACTTTTGTAGAATTAACATATTTGGAAAATCGGGTTGGCCATTCGGAAAATTACGGCAATAATAGTATAACAAAATTTTAATTGTTTAATTAAACAGAAAAAATATTATAATATTATAATCAGTATAAAATGATTTACGAAATCACGGCATTTACATGGATAACGTTTAACAAATCGTAAATCGGTAAATTTTTTTCGGTTTCAGTACTTCTCAGGGCCGTAGCAACCGGGGGGGAGAGGCATCACCCTTACAATAATTTGCTGATAATCAGTCTTTTTTCAAAATCATGCACACCTTTATCATTTAAACAATTGATTAATTTTAAGCGGCTACATTATCCATGACAAACCGCAAAGAATTATATTACCCATACTCTTTCCTGCAACTTCTCCAATATATAGCTAAATACGACTTCGCCCATTTAATTCTGCTAAATTGTAATCAAATTGTAAATTTCGACATACTAAAACTCTATTAACAACTCAAACCGACTTTACCACGTAGCTCAGTTGGCAGAGCATTGGACTAGTATCCCAAAGGTCGCAGGTTCGACTCCCACCGTGGCCAGGCACACTTTTCAGCTTGCCCACTGTGGATGCATACTCAGAGTAACATCACAAATATCATATTAAAACTTTGTTTTCTGACCATCAGAATTCTGTCAAAACTTCCCCCAAAGTCCAGGAAATGGCATTTCAGAGAATCTAAATTTAAAAATTTCCTCGGGCCTTCAGCCCTCGTTCCCAGCCCCCAATAAAAAAGAGCTTCCTACGGCACTGCATACTTCTGTAATATGTCTTTGTGGAAACTATGTGGGCTATGTGTATTTTTGTTTGTAAATTGCGTCTTCATTTTCCAGATAGCAAACACCTTCGTTGCTTCGTATGCCATGAAATATTCGGAAATTTTTTTCGTCATTCGGAAATATTTGGCCTACACCCCCCACCCCCCAACTATACATGCTAGCTACGGCCCTGATCGGACAGGCCAAATCCATTGATATGACAACTTCAAAAAACGTTTTTTTGAAGCTAGAATTCATGATTTTTTTCAAATTTTTCCAGGGATACTTTGTTTTCTGCTCTCTAGACTCCCCCTCGCGGCTCTAGTGCTCCACTCCTAGAATATAGACCTTACTGGGGTTTGGTGACACTTTGTGTTGCTTCAGTCACCTGCTCACGGCTCACCCCCCTAAAATTTCTGGCACCACCCCAGTAAAAAATATGAAAATCCGTCTATGGTCAAGATCCCACCATGATCTTGCCAAGATCCCACCATGGTCCTTGCCAAGATCTTATCACAATCTTGCCAAGATTCTATCATAATCTTGCCATGATCTTGCACAATCTTGGCAAGATTCCACCATGATATTACCAAGATCATATCAAAATCTTGCCAAGATCCTATTGTAATCTTGCCATGATCTTGGAAGATCTTGTCAAGATCCCATCATGATCTTTCCATGATCCCACCATGATTCTTGCTAAGATCTTATCACAATCTTGCCAAGATTCTATCATAATCTTGCCATGATCTTGGACAACCTTGCCAAGATTCCACCATGATCTTGCCAAGATCTTGTCAAAATCTTGTCAATATCCTATCATGATCTTGCCATGATCTTGGAAGATCTTGTCAAGATCCCACAATGATCTTGCCAAGATCCCACCATGGTCCTTGCTAAGATCTTATAACAATCTTGCCAAAATTCTATCATAATCTTGCCATGATCTTGCACAATCTTGGCAAGATTCCACCATGATCTTACCAAGATCATATCAAAATCTTGTCAAGATCCTATTGTAATCTTGCCATGATCTTGGAGGATCTTGCCAAGACTCCACCATGATCTTACCAAGATCCTACCATGATCCTTTCTAAGATCTTATCACAATCTTGCCAAGATTCTATCATAATCTTGCCATGATCTTGGACAATCTTGCCAAGATTCCACCATGATCTTGCCAAGATCTTATCAAAAATCTTGCCAAGATCCTACCATAATGTTGCCATGGTCTTGAAAATCTTGCCAAGATCTCAGCATGATCTTGCCAATATCTTACCAAAATCTTGCCAAGATCTTATTGTAATCTTGCCATGATCTTGGAGGATCTTTTCAAGATCCCATCATGATCCTTGCTAAGATCTTATCACAATCTTGCCAAGATTCTATTATAATATTGCCATGGTCTTGGAAGATCTTGTCAAGATCTCACCATGATCCCAGCATGATCTTGCCAAGATCTTATCTATCTTGATCTTGGAAGTTCTTGACACAATCTCTTGTCATGATTTTACCATGATCATACCAAAAATGCCATGATTTTGAAAGATCCTTGTGAAAGGAGGCTTTTACGCGCACAGTCGCTCTCGCACCTTTGCGTGCCAGATCCAAATGACTGAAATGAGATCAATTAATCAATATCTGTAAATCTTGTTATCTGCGCATTTTTCGCATATTTGTGGTAGACAACCGTTGGTAAAAGCCCCAAGGCGCGTTTTATAAGTCAAACATAGAAGGTACACGGCAGTTTATACTTCTGTTCCTCGACTTTGTTGCTGCACTAAAGAAGAAAGGATAACTTGTCGAGCTGTCTTAAATAAAAAGTAAGTGCTTACAACCTATTTTGTAACACAATATTTGTATATTGAATGAATGAACGCTAAGCAGTTTGATTACCACATGTAATAAATGTTTCAAGCTTTTTCAAATAACCTTAGAAATGGCTAAGTTAATCGGCTAAAGCGATGTAATGCTTGCTGTAATTTCGACTTTAAATAATTTTAATAACACCTCATCATTGGTCGCAATAAGCTAAGCTTTTACGTGATAATGCTTAGTTTAACGTTTTGTTAAGAATGACAAAGCCGTTGAGAATACCCCTGGGACCACAAATTATTATATTCACACAGTCTTATTTATTACACAGCTTTTGCGCAGCTTGCGCTACTGAAATGTCCTGATAACCGTAGTTTTGACAGATCCGGTGCCAAACATCGTAAATGCAGCGCATAGGAACACGCATTTTAGTGAGTTAAGTTTCATTATGCCAACCAGTGAAGCTAGGATAAAATATACAGATCCTTCATATAAAATTAATGGTTTGAGCTATGATTATTCAACTGTGTATTATTCAAAATTTGTTATTTCAAATATTATTTAGGAAAACATGGTGAAGGCATCCCCAAATGATAAAGCTATGGACAAAAAAAGAAACTACAGAGATCGAGATTGTAAGTATGAGTGTATACATGTGTAATTTATCGTTTTTACTTAAAAAGAATTCAACTACAGTGATTTAATATCAAGTATTGTTAATTCATTTTAGTGGCACAATGACATTAATTTGATGACCGTAAATGCACCACCAAAAGAGCCATCAAAATGTGCAATCAAATTATTGGACTTCCTATTTTCATCGGAAGAGCTCCAGGATGGAATACTATTCCAGTCGAAAAGATCTCCAAAACCAGCACTAGATCCCAACAGGGTCACTAAATTGTTTGGTAAGAATAATATATGTGATTTGACTTCAAGAAAATTAACTGGCCAGCTGTGAACAGATATATACAAACTTAAGACTAAGTTGCCACAGTATGTGTTAATTAAAAGTACTATAGTTTTCTTTGCCAGTGGCAATGTGTTTTGGGTAAACATTGAAATGAACTTAAATACAAAAAATAGACTTACTTTAACACAGTCTTTTTTTACGATATAGCTGTCCTCAAAGCCAAGTATGGCGAAGAAAAAGTACAGAGAACAGTAAAGACGCCAAATTATCGTGGATGCGTGCAATCAAAATTCAAAAGTGCCGCGATATGCGAAGAAAAACAAAATCGAAGAACTTGCAATGACAATGGTGTCCAATGCTAATATAATTCATGAAGTAAAGTATGAAACAACCTCCGAATAAAAGTCCCATCTTGAAACTCAATTCTTTAGAACAACATTATTAAGAACAGACAAGATTCCCTTTGTTTTCTCTCAAATATTGAGCAAGGTGGAACTTTCATTCGGACTTTATTTCAATCGCCATAGATATTGATAATATTTTACCAACATTATTGGTCTAATTTACTACATTTACTATGCAAACTAAACCGGGTAAAAGCTTGAGTATTATAACTTGGATGAACTAATTGATTACAATTTAATAGAGACCGACACTGAATTTATGGCAATATTGTACACTTTTACGTTAGTTTGATATAAATTCAATCAAAGTTATATCCAGAGTATAGTATATTTCATGTAGAGCCTCTTCATTCTGTATTTGCCATGTATTCTTGCCACGAACTTGGTAAAATCTTGTAGGGTCATGGCAAGATCTGGCTGGATTTTGGTAAGATATTGAAGGATCATGGCAAGATCTCGCAGGATTTTTGGTAAGATCTTGGAGGATCATGGCAAGATCTTGCTGGATTTCGGTAAGATCTTGGAGGATCATGGCAAGATCTTGCAGGATTTGTGGTAAGATCTTGGAGAATCATGGCAAGATCTTGCAGGATTTGTACCAAGATCATGCCAAGATGTTACATAAATCCTGCAAGATCATGGAAAGATCTTGCATGATCTTGCAAGATCTTTCCAAGTTCTTGCAGGATCTTACCTAAGATCTTGCAGGATCTTGCAAGATCTTTCCATGTTCTTGCAGGATCTTACCTAAGATCTTGCAAGGATTTGTACCAAGATCATGCCAAGATCTTACATAAATCCTGCAAGATCATGGAAAGATCTTGCATGATCTTGCAAGATCTTTCCAAGTTCTTGCAGGATCTTACCTAAGATCTTGCAGGATCTTGCAAGATCTTGCCATTATCATGGCAAGATCTTGTCATGATCATGGCACGATCTTGCAAGATGTTTGGCAAGATCTTGCAAGATCCTGCAAGATCTTAGGTAAGATCCTGCAAGAACTTGGAAAGATCTTGCAAGATCATGCAAGATCTTTCCATGATCTTGCAGGATTTATGTAAGATCTTGGCATGATCTTGGTAAGATCTTGGGTAAGATCTTGCTGGGATCTTGGCAAGATTGTCAACCTGGGTGCATTTCCCGATACTAAGTTTCCTGATTTAGTTACACAAAATTATAAACATAATTTAAATTTCGCATGTGTGAGTTATGTTAATGTTCATACCCGGTTTTTCCAAAATACTGCTCGACTCACAAACTTGTTTATAATCAGTTTATATCCAGCAAAGTGCAAACATTTAGCCAATCAAATGGCGTTTATGGTTTATTATTATTAAAAAAATTCTGATGATCTACCAAGAACAGTTTAGAAGTGATGTTGGTATCCAGTATATATAAAGTTAGTTTAATAGTTTACGTTTCCTCCTGTAATAAGAGATGAGGTGAACAGTTTAGAACTGTTCACCTTAGGAACAAACATGGGGTGAACTTACTTCCAGTCATAGATAACATCAATTCTATTACGTCATTAGCTATAGTCGTTACGTAGTTGTACGAGACAGTACCGCGCATGAGTTAACCAGTTGTACTGTTCATGTGAACCAGTGAGCACCCGCAATTTATCGTTCCGTTGGAACTTGGAATTCATCTTCTCAAGACGACGCCTATCTTTTCTGGATAAAAAGAGCTAAGTCGTTATCTTTTGTACTTTCTTTATCTTTATATTCGTATTATCTGTAGTAATAGCATGTCAGACACTGAACAAAATTT